AGAAAGTCATGTCGAAGCTTAAGGACAGAGAGAATGGCTCGGCCAGTCTCCTCCTGAGACGCAAAGGCCGTGTCATATTCCGAGCCAGGCTGAGGAGCGCCAGCTGGATCAGTGTCCGCTGGCTCCGTGGACTTCCTCTTTTTGAAAAGCAAGAGACTGAGATGATGGAGGACTTTCGGATCGTACTCCTCGTCGTACCTGTCGTCCCAAAGCTTCCTCAGCTCCCTGTGCAAGTCGTCCGCGCGATTCTGAACGACATCCTCGACGTAGTCGGGATCACCCGGTGAAGTCGGTGAAAGCGGAGGAGCAGAACTCGGCGACCGATCCCAATGCACAGAAGACTCGCGGTCCGCCTGTACGCTGACGTCGGCGTCGGAGACGTTTTCGACGACAATTTTCCGCCTCTTGCTCTCCCCAGGCTGAATAGCACCAGGGAGAGTGAGCACAACCGCCACCGCATCGTGTGCGTCGTTGCGCATGCCACGATCCGTAAAAGACGCGCCAACGGCAATGGAGCAGAAACGGGCGACTGCTCCGCAGACCGCGACGTGGTCGCCTTTGAGGTCGGCCGGAGTGGCATGGACCTCCCATACCTTCTCGTCGTTCTGCTCGCGCTGGTAAGCCTCCCGCGCCTCCTGGAAAGTGAGGTTGTCGTCGCCGACTACAAGCACAACGACTGCCTCGTTTAGATTCTCAAGAATCTTGGCCAGGCCGTCCAGGTGCAAGCGGAGATGGCGAACTGTCCGCTTTCGAGTCTGGATGCTCGGCGGTTTCTTGCCGCACACGATGTGCATGTTGGCGATCACCACGTGGAACTTGTCATGGCCTGGTTTGTTCACCTCAAAATGTGAAATAACAGCATCAATATCTCGGCCGCTAGGAGGCCTGTAAACTTTGCTGTCTTCGCACAGAGTCAGTTCCGCAGGCTGAGAAGCACCGCGGAACCCCCAGAGAGTCAAGTAGTTGTCGACCTCCAAGAAGCGAATGCCATCACCGAAAGGCTTACTGAGGATGTCTGTCACGTTGATCCCTGCTCGGCGAAAGCCTTCACGGAACGCACCGACCTCGCAGCCACAGACCATATCAGCATCAGCGGTCTCCACTATCTTGGCGCACAACCTTCCGAAGTTAGCGCAGTGAGTGGCCGCCTGCTTACCAGTCATCATGCCCTGCTCGAACCCGAAATTGAACGAGGCGACCGTGAAAGACGCAGGCTGCACAGCGCCAGAACCAGGCGTCTGTCCACCTTCCTCCGCAGGCTGAGAAGCACCGCGAGGCGGCGCAGGCTGAGAAGCACCGCGAGGCGGCGACACTTCGGACGAGCCTCGCGGAGCAGAGGCTGCGGATGAACGTTGGACATGGGGGTACGGCCAGGGGAACGCCATTGCAATCAAAACTCAGTGGACTGCAGTGAATGAATGTAGTGGCCAATTGAATGCAGAGGACTGCAGTGTCACTAGCAAGTCCTGAACCAAACACAGCTGTGGCGGAAGGAATATGAAGCGTCTGGCTATTCAAAATGTTGCCCGGCAATGTCCTCCTCCTCCTCCTCCTCCTCCTCCTCGTCCTCCTCCTCCTCTTCCTCCTCCTCCTCCTCCTCCTCCTCCTCCTCCTCCTGGTAATCCTCCCCCTCCCCTCCTCCTCCTGGTAGCCCAGGAATGGGAGTTTTGGGAACTCGAAGAGCACGAAGTGGCCTACAGTTGGCTCCGGGCATTCAAAATGTGGCCCGGGAATGGAGTTCTGGGAACTCGAAGAGCACGAAGTGGCCTACAGTTGGCTCCGGGCATTCAAAATGTGGCCCGGGAATGGAGTTCTGGGTAGAAGAGCACGAAGTGGCCTCGAAGAGCTCCGCAAGTGTGTGACTGTTGCATCCGGCCCCCAGAATGTGGCCCGGGAATGGCGTTCTGGGATGTCGAAGAGCACGAAGTGTGTGACTGTTGCATCCGGCCCCCCAGAATGTGGCCTGGGAATGGAGTTCTGGGAAGGCGAAGAGCACGAAGTGTGTGACTGTTGGTGAAAAACGAGCCCGGCTCATGCCGCCCGGAAACGCCCCAACACCTGCCCGGACCCCCCTGTGGAGTGATCTGTGAGCTCTTTTGAGTCAACTAGAAACCTATCAGTCTTCGCTGTTAGGTAACTATGCACCTGCGGCGGGCTTCTCGAAATTTGCCTTTGGGCCCCGCTGGCCGCCGACGGCCCATACGGCCCCTCACTCTTATCCGCAACTGCGAAGGCTACGGTATCCAAGCCCTGAGGTCATTAAGCAGCTCCCGTCCATCGGCCTCAATGCGTACAAGCTAAGCAAATCCCTCTCCCCCTTCACTTCCTCCTGCTCCTCCTCCTCCTCCTCCTCATCCTCATGCCCCCCGCCTCCCTCAGTTTCTCCTTCCCCCAGGCCTGTTAATCCTCCTCCGCCTTCCTTCCTTTCTTCCTTCCTTCTTTATCCTCCTCCTCCTCCTCATCATCATCATCATCCTTTTCCTCCGCCTCCTCCTCCCTCATTCACTCCCTCCTTCCCTCCCTCCCTCCCTCCCTCACTCCCTCCGTCTCCCCCTCCGTGTCTCTCTCTCTCTCTCTCTGTGTCGTTTTTTTCTTTCTCTCTCTCTCTCTGTCTCTCTCTCTCTCTCTCTCTCCCCTCCCAGCCTTCTCCAATTTCCTTCCCTTTCCCCTCATTCCCCCTCCTCCCTCCTCCGCCTCCTCCCTCCTCCTCCCCGTCCCTCTCTCCCTCCGCCTGCCCATCCTTCTCCTTCCCTCCTTCCCTCCCGCTCCTCTTCCCCCCCCCTCCCTCCTGCCATTCCCCCTCAGTCTCTTCTTTCTCCCACTTCTCCTCCTCTTCCTCCTCCTCCTCTTCTTCGCCCCTCTGCCCACTTCCCCTCCTCCTCCCTCCCTTCAAGCTCTTCTTTCTCCCCCTTGCATCCACCTCTTTGCATATTCCCAATGTGAGTGCTACTCTCCTCTCGTCCCTGAGCATGTGCAGCCATGGTTCCGCCTTTCCCACGTTCTGTTTCCACGCGCGCACGCACTCGCAGTTCCAAACTTCACTTTCAATTCTGTGATTCGTAGCGGTGTCGGTCATTCGAGCAGGGTGGTCCCGCTGCAACGATGGTCACTTTTTAAGATCGGTGTTCTGCCCCCGTCGTTCAGAAGGGCGCTCGCTTGACAGCGCGGGCCACATTTAGGATCCGATTCTTTCTTCGTCGTTGCTGCCTTTCTCCTTTTCCATCCTCCGTCCTCCCTTAAGTACCCCCGCCCTCAAACTCGTAATTACTCCTGTTTCTGTTGCTGCTCCTCCTCCTCTTCCTCCTCCTCCTTGTCCACATCCTCCTGCTCACCCGTTTCTTCCCTCTCGTCCTCTGCTGTGCAAGAGCCCCCCCTCCATTTTGCCGATTGCTAAACCAACGTCGGGGTCAAATTGTGCAACCACCATCTGGGGACCAACGTCCTCCAGGACACCTCAGTCGCGGGAGGGGAGGATGCCTGATGCGGCGGGGGCGCACCTAACTTGCCTTTCGCCTGTCTCCTCTCAGCTCCTTTACGTCTCCCTGCCCCTCCTCCTCCTGTTCCTCCTCCTCCTCCTCATCATCGTCCGCATCACCATCATCATCGTCAACATCATCATCATCATCATCATCATCATCATCATCATCATCATCATCATCATCATCATCATCATCACCATCATCACCATCATCATCATCATCAGCATCACCATCACCATCACCATCATCATCACCATCATCAACATCATCATCATCATTATCATCAACAACAACATCAGCATCAGCATCAACAGCAACATCATCATCATCATCATCATCATCATCATCATCATCATCACCATCATCATCATCATCATCATCATCATCATCATTCATCAGCATCAGCATCAGCATCAGCATTAGCATCACCATCAGCATCAGCATCAGCATCAGCATCATCATCATCACCATCATCACATCATCATCATCACCACCATCACCATCACCATCACCATCATCATCATCACATCATCATCACACATCAACAATCATCAGTATCATCAACAACAACATCAGCAAACATCAACATCACATCAACATCATCATCATCATCATCTTTATCATTATCATCATCATCATCATCATCATCATCATCATCATCATCATCATCATTCATCAGCATCAGCATCGGCATCAGCATCAGCATCAGCATCAGCATCAGCATCAGCATCAGCATCAGCATCAGCATCAGCATCAGCATCAGCATCAGCATCAGCATCAGCATCATCATCATCATCATCATCATCATCATCATCATCATCATCATCATCATCATCTTTAAGGTGTTCCTCCTCCCGCCCCCGGCCACTCTTCCTCCTCCCATCCCCCCCCTCCCCCCCAGACATCCGACGTCGCGATTTTGCCGCAACGCGGCCCCGCGGAAACGTTTCACCCCGAATCGTGTTCTGACCGTCCCAGGGGTCGGCGAGGGCTTACCGACACCGAAAACGCCCCCCCCCCACCCCCTCCTCCCCCGTCGTCATTTTCCACGACGCGAAGATGTCAAAGTCCCCTCCCTCCACTGAGGGTCCCCTCCCTCCTCTGCTGAAGCGCGCACGGCCCCTTCCGGGTCCAACCATCGAGGTCTGTCGTGGCGCATGCGAAAAGCATCGAGGTTTTTCATTGCGCGCGCCACAGAAAACATCGACGCATGGTTTGAATTGAGCCGGTATGTGTCGACATAGAGAGCAGTGCCACTAACGAGGTAAACCTCTTCGGTGAGGGCATTGGATAAAGACGCATTGGATGGGGAATCCATGGTCTCAAGCCGGTGGAACTCCAATCATGGAGTGGCCACGGATTTCACCGCCGCCCTCATTAGATAAGGAACCCTCCAGGGTCTGAAGCCTCCTGGCCACTGTCCTGAACGAGCGCCCCCCTATCGCACCCTGGCGATAGCCCGTGGCGAACGGGGCGTGCGCGTCTCAGCTCCACTGCCGCCCTCTCGCGGCGCGCGCGCGCCTCGACCCACGCCTCGGGCACCACCACCGTGTGGGCCCCCGCAGCCTTCCCCGAGCGCACGCCGCTGGGGGCGTCCTCGCGGTCCCCCGCCCGGGCGGCAGCCGCGGTGCGTCAACCGCCGACGGCTTGGCCCGCGCGGCTGGGCCACCTTCCCCTCCTACTCCCCCCTTCCTCCCTCCGTCCCCCCTCCTCCTCCTCCTCCTCCTCCTCCTCCTCCTCCTCCTCCTCCTCCTGCTGCTCGTCTTCTTCTTCTTTTTCTTCTTCTTCTTCTTCCTCTTCCTACTCCTCCTCCTCCTCCTCCTGCTCTTCTCCCTCCCTCTTCCTTCCTTTGTCCTCCCTCCTCAGTCCTCCCCCTTCCCTCCTCCCTCCTTGCTCCTCCCTCCTTGCTCCTCCCTTCTTGCCCCCTCCCTCCCGCCCGCCTTCCTCCCATCCTCCTTCCTCCACCCTGCTTTCTCCTTCCTTCCTCTTCCTCCTCCTGACTTCCTCCTTCCTTTCTCCCTCTCTCCCTCCCTCCTCCTCCTCCTCCTCCTCCTCCTCCTCCTCCTCCTCTGCGTCTCTTTCACAATGCGGCGAATGCCAACGACGATGATCAAAAACAATAATGACGTCCTCCCTGTAGGGTGAACAGCACAAACAAACAATCTTGTTCTGGCTCAATATTGTCTGGAGCCCACTTCTTCCGCTGTTGAATTCTGCCTCGCTCAATCCTCTGGCTCTCTCTCTCTCTCTCTCTCTCTCTCTCTCTCTAAGAATCGACATCCTCCAGAGTGAGTCCGAACCGTGAGGCGAGCTGCTGGCATGACCCTCGCTCTCCCGCCTCCCGCTCACCAAGCCCCGCCCCCTTCGCCCCATCGGTCACACGAGGTTTCATGGCAGAGCCCGCGGAGCGAACGGCAATCTCGAGACCCATCGGCCTGGCAGGGTTCCCACCGGGGCGAGGCTCTCCCATGGTCGACCCCTTGCACCGCGGGGCCCCACCCTGGAAACAGCCTCGGTGCCGCCTTGGAGCGCTGTCGGCGAAGCGCAGCTGAAAGGGGCGGGGAGGGCGCTCCTGACAGAGAGATCTGGGTGTCCCCTTCCAACGGGAAGCCCCACAGGTCGTACAAAGAAGGGCTGGAACCACGGGCACCCCACATCCCGTCGGCTCCAACAACGAACGCCCACATCATCGGATGGCGGGTCAGCCCCACGAGGATCTCAAACTCGGCCTGGGCAGCAGGGCTCAGGGCAAAGGTGCGTCGACCACTTTGGGAGCTCCAGGGAGGCTGCTGCAGCTTGAGATCGCCTCGCTTGGCTTCGGGCGCGAGCTCGCTCGTCCTCGGCATCTCGTCGGCCTCTCGTCACCCATTATTGCCCAGACGGCTGCACCAACGGCAGCGCCCACCACAGCGCCGACAGCGTGACCGACGGCTGCCCGACGGCTGCAACAACCACACCGCCCGCAGCAGCGCCGACAGCGGCACCGAAAAGTTCGCCGACTGCTGCCCCGACGGCTGCACCAACAGCCCCGACAACTCGGCACCTCGCCGGCCTCTCGTGACCCGGAGCACTTCCTGCTCGGCGGCCCGGCGGCCAGCCTCTCGAGCCGTCTGCTTGAACAGCTGCCGGCTGCTTCGGCGGCGGCGCGCGCGAAGAGGCGGGGGGCGCGGGGGGCGGCCTTCTGCGAAGTTGCCCCGCCTCTCGGAAGCCCCCCCTGGCCTTCCGAGAGGGCTTCCCAGACACGAGCCTCCACGGGCACTGAGCTCTGGGCGTTGCACTTTCCCCAACAACCATCCTGTGGTGTTGGGTCCTCGTTTTGGGGGAGACAGCGCCCCGCGCCCTCCTTCCTTCCCGCTGCCCCCTCCTTCCTCCCACCCCTGCATCTGCCATCCGAATGTCAACCATGTCGGCGCACCCCTCGCACCTTGCGTGGACCCACTGAATGCCCCAGTGGCAGTGACAGCGTTCGCATGGCGGCCCCGCGCCCATGTCGGCACACCCCTCACACTCTTCGTGTCCCCATAGGGAGCTCCATCGAAAACTACAATGGCAACGTTCGCATGGCGGCCCCACGCCCATTCCGGGCCCCACGCCCATTCCGGAACACCCCTCACACGCTTTATGGCACCATACGGAGCCCTGACTGCCAAAGGCCCCAGTGGGAACTTCCGTATGGCGGCCCGCAACCATTTCGCCACACCCCTCACGTGCAGGTCGGGTCGGGCGGGCGTGCGAACCCTAACGGGCGGGTCGGGTCGGGGCGGGCAAGACATCATTAAGTATAATGCATCAACGAATTTGAACGTGAGTACCCTAACGGGCGGATCCGGTCGGAAGCGCGGGCAGACCCTGCACGGTCGGATCGGGTCCGGCGAGCGGACCTTGGCGGGCAGGTCGGGTCGGGCGGGCGGCAGATGAAAGTATGATGCGTCATCGAGTTGAGTTGGCACGCGAGTATCCTGACGGGCGGGTCGGGTCTGGCGGGCGAGCGGACCCTAACGGGCGGTTCGGGTCGGGCGGTTGGACCCGAAAGGGCGAGTCGCGTCGAGCTGGGCGGGCGGCCCCGAACCGGAAGATCGGGTCGGGCGGTCGTGACATCAAAAAAAAAAATGCGCCATCAAAGTGGCACACCAATACCCTATCTGGCTGGTCGGGTCGGGCACGCGAGCGCAACGGTCCGGTCGGGTCGGGAGGGCGGCGGACTCCTGCGGGCAGGTCGGGTCGGGCGGACGAGAGATCAAAGCATGGTGCCCCATCGAGTGGGCGCGCGTGTTGGCCGTGTCAGGCGGTCAGGCCATAAAAAGGGCTGGTCGGATCACTCGGGCGGGGAATTCCAGTGTGCAGCATCATCGAAGGATTGGCACGCGTGCGCGGCGGGTCTGGCTGGGTGGGCAGACCCTAGCGGGCGGGCCTGGGCGACGGGGGCGGGTCATCAAAGCATGGTGCGTCATAACGCTGTCGCGCGTTCACGACGGGTGGGTCGGGTCGGGCGAGCGGGCCTTCAATGAATGGGCGGGTTGGTTCGGGCAGGCGGGCTGGTCGTGTCGGGAGGGCGTGACGTGCCGGGCGGGCGTGGTGTTGAAGCAGTGCCCCGTCGAGTGAGCGCGGGCGTGTGGTGGGTGGGTCGGGTGGACACCAACGGGCGGGGCAGGTCGGGCGGGCGGGCCCTACCTGGCGTATTGGGTCGTGCGGAACAATATGCATATCACGCTATAGAGTTGGCATGGGCGTGCGGGGCGACTGGGGCGACCGCGACGATCAGGGCGACCAGGGCAAACGCGGCGTCCGGGGCGACCGCGGCGTCCGGGGCGACCGCGGCCACCGCGGCGACCGCGGCCACCGCGGCGACCAGGGCAGCCGCGGCGACCAGGGCGACTGGGGGCGACCGTGGGCGACCTCGGTGGCCGCGGCAACCGCGGCG